GGATCTTGAGTCTCAGCTCCGCACATTGTGGACATGGGTATGTTACAGGATTCCAGGGCAGGAGGAATAGGGAAACTGAAACAGGAAAGTTGAAACAAGGCCAAACAGTGTGGGCAATTTGCAGCCAGCTTATAACTAACAAACAATTATTTTCACCAGCCAAGGACCCAGAGCAAATGGTTAAAAAACTTCCCTAATGAGAAAATGCAGAAAGGGAAAGGAAAAGGGGAAAGGAAAAAAGGGCTGTTTTACTCCCTAAGCAGAAAAGCCAGCAGTCTTAAGGCTTGGCAAGATAAAGTTGCCAGGTGCATCTCATGAATTCTGGGACCATCACAACAAAGTAAAAAAAAATAATAATAATTCTCAAAGTAATTGAGAATTAATCTATACCAGCAGAGAAATTTTTAAGCCTATAGACAGGAGGGTATATAATACTTCAGACCCCCACCCAACTTGTTCTTCAGATTAGCTGACAGCCGTCTGTGCTTCATAAGCCAGATGTATAGGTTTGCTTGCTTTGCTTTGCAATAAAGATGCATGCTTTAATTGTTTTAATAAATTGCTTTTTCACAATGCAGACAAGGTCTCTTGTATAAATTCATTTATATGAGAAGATAAGTATTGAGGCTGGAGACAGGCCTCTCCACTGACTCAGGGGGTTGTCCTGTCTGGTAACACCTCTCTGGAGTCAGTGAGAGGTGACTATAACATTTTGTACTGTGATTCAGATCAAGGAGAGGGATTAGGATCTGAGGTGGACTGCTACAAGTTAATTGCTGCACAGTTGTCCTTTGCTCTCTCAGATGGATTGCAGTGAGTTCAGCCCATTTGGGGATTTCTTTTTCTGTTTTGCCACTGGGTTTTAAGTGGTTTCAGCATAACAGAAATTTGCAAAACATACCAGGCCTGTGCTAGGGGCAGAAAATTGAGAATAAAACCAGATGAGTGCTTAGGTCCCTGCCCAAGCTCCGAAGATCAATGAGGCAAATTCCTCCCTCTGGTTTGAGACTCTCCAATGTTAAGAAAGTAAGGACCTTGCAGAGGTTTCTGGAGTTGAACCCTAAAATGTGTAGGGGCCTCATAGAGACCCCAGAATACAACCGTAATTAAACTTTGACCCATCCATGGTGTGCACATAAAGGCTGGTTCCCCAGCACCCCGGGTCCTCATGGCCGTTCTAGACAGCTGGGGAGAGAATCCGAGGCACGTAATAGGAGTGACGACCAGCAGTTTCACCGCCTCTGGGAGCTCTATTCACAAGCAGCACACTTTGACCCACTACATAAAATCCTTAGCTTTTCTGCCTCTGGAGCATGGCTGGAAGAAGAATAAATTTGTCATCAATCATCTGTAAGTCTGCTGCACCTTTCTGTCCCCCTTATAGATCCAAGGTAATCCATCCCCTTATTAGGCAGGACACCTTGCCTAGTCTAAAGGGGAGGGCATGCCTCCCCTTGAAAGAGGAAGAAAAAGGGAAGGCTCTTTTAAACTAAAGGCTTGAAATGCCCAAGCCAAGTGTTTTAAAAGAAACAAACTAAGAGTGACTATGAACGTTACAAAGGGTATGTATAAGTCACCAAAAATCCATGTAAATCACAGAAGGTCTTGCAAGTTAAAAAAAGTAATATATGAAAAGAGAAAAAAAGCTCTCTTTAATTTTTTTCAAAACCAATTGTTATTTCCCCACAAAAGCCCTGGGTAATATGGCCCTTTACAAAGAAAAATTTGGTTGGTTTTCTGAGGACTCTAGCAAATTCACACAGAGTTTTAGTCACTTGACACTGACTTTTAGAGTAATTTACAAATTATTCTCTTCCACTGCTGCCCTATAAATGAAGAGCAACACATAAGAGACATTGCAAGGGCTTATACTAATAAATTAACTGGCCATCATAGTCAATACCATATATACAGACCAGGGGGAGATACAATCCCAAATCAAAAGCCTAATTACTAGTAGATATATCAAAGTAAAACAAATAAGGACAAAAGGAAAGGAACTGCCAGACTGATATAGCTAAGGAAAAAGGACTCTAGCCACGCTATGCCAAAACCTCAAAGCCCTAGGTATCTACATTACCCATAGGTCTCATGAAAATAAAAAATACACCTAAAGGAAAAATTACAAGGTTACTTCTCTGAAATTAAACCTATTTCTTATAAGTAACCACGGGAACTTCAACCTGAGGCCTACTCTTGTGAACCCATCGAGAACCTCAAGCTCATTTTCAAGAAACAAAAACGTATTGCAGATAAGTAATGTAATGGCTGGGCATCCATATAATTGTCCACTAACCTTCTTGTCAAATTTGTCACTTCTAGGAAGCAATAACTCCATGTCAAGACAATGATGCTTCAGGGATTCTAGCCCATTCCCTACTTTAAAAGAATCAACAAACAGCCTCTCTGTTCTAGTCTCAAGTCCCATTCCCTTATCTCCGTTAGGTCAGATAGGAAGAGGCTTCCATACCCTAAGGCAGGCAGGCTCTACACCCCTTAACAGCATGAAGTAATTACAG